TTTTTTTCTTTTGGTTTTTTGAGACAGGGTTTTACTATTTAACCTTGGCTGCTCTGGAACTCACTCTGTAGACCAGGCTGGCCTTGAACTCACAGAGATCTACCTTCCTCTGCCTCGCAAGTGCTGGGATCAAAGATGTGGACCACCACCACCCCATGCCCCTGCCTTCCTTATTTAAGCTTTTTACTCTGAACTCCTGAACACTGTAGCATACAGCAAGCTGTCAATTGGGAGTGGCTTATGGACCAGGCCGCAGAGAAGAAGCTAGCCTTAGAGCAACAAAGTGACAATAGTAGCAATAGCTAGATAATCATCAGTACTTATTACTTTGTATCATTATTGTGTTTACGCTAATGTAGCAACATTTTCTTCCCTAGTTTATGTCAACCCCAAGGCCATGCTTTTACAATTGTCCTGGAGTATGGGTGGAGGTTGGAGCTCAGGTCAAGAAACTTCTTGGGTGTGGAGTAGCCTGTGGCCCCCTGATTCACAGTGATGTAACACCTGACACAGCTCCCTCCAGTAATTGTCAGAACAAAATTGGCAAGCCTGTGAACACCAGGGATGCCCCATCAGTCACTTCCTGTTTGCTGCATTTTTTGCGTCTTAACTCCAAGGTGATGGCAAGGGCAGAGTTCACAAGGCTCAGCTTGGCTCTCCTGGATAGAGAACTCCTTGTCGGTGGTGCCATCTGCAGGGCATTAAGGAATTTGCCAGGCATTTTCTGGAATTGGGAGGGGTAAATGCCATCTCAGGCTTAAATATTCTCCCTGTCATCCTCCATTAAATCTTTTACTTTGAACATCTACTCTGGATCACAGCATGGATTTCCCCCGAAGGTTGAAAGACCAACATCTCTAGTATCTCTTAACAGGCAGTGCTTAAAACAGGAACCCAAAGCTGTGGTATCATTTCCATTCTTCCTTGCCAATTAAATCTGTCATTTTTAAGATGAAGAACTAGGGTTGGAGAGTTGGCACGATGGTTAAGAGCACTTGTTCTTGAAAAAGATCTGGGGTTCGATTCCCAGCTTCCACATGAAGGCTTCCCACCTTTTTAGGCACCAGGCATAGATAAAGAAGTACACAAACATACAAGCAGGCAAAACACTCACATGCACAAAATAGTAAGTTTAAAAAATAATAAAATACTTAAAAAAAAGATGAACTCACTGGAGTCTTCCCATTTTAATAGTGACCTTAGCAAGGTGAAGAATGCTATGCATTTTAGCATTGTGAATTTTTTTTGGGGGGGGTTGTGTTGTTTGTTTTTTTGGTAAATGTTGCAGCTAATGAGATGCCAAATTTGACCATCTAAGTTTGATCCCCAGAATCCATATGGTGGAGGGAAGGAACCATCTCCTATTCCCTATGCTTGCAGGGCCTAACAGGGTCTATCCCTATCTATTAACTCCTATAATCAAGGCGTTATGAAAATCTGTAGTACAAACTAATAAATGGGCCCAGGTCTTAAGGGTATCATGACAGAACAAGAGTCAAGTCTCTCTCTGACCCCTAGGGATAGGCCTTTTTGGGACTCACATTCTCTTGAAGTGCTTAAGGAGGACCAGGTTGTAAGGAGAATGTATGAGTTTTATAAAATGTTGCCATTTACATTGACTAAACAAACAGTGAAGATCCTAAAATGGCCAGGTGCAGTTGGACTTGCCTGTAACCTAGCATTTGGGAAGCTGAGTCAGGAGGATAAAGGTCAGCCTGTGTAATACATATGGAAACCTGTATCAAAAAGAAAAACTGGCTTTAGAGGGAAATAATCCTCATTTCATAATTTTTGAAGCTTTCTGTAGACCACAGGCTTTACCAGGTACAGCACCTTGAACAACTCTGATCCTCCTTCCTTCACCTTTTGAGTGCTGAGATAATATAACTAAGTCACCATGCCAGGTTGAATGCAGTGCTAGGAATTAAATTCAGGGTTTCATGCATGCTAGGCAAATATCCTGCCAAACTGAGCTACACATAAAGCCCCTACAATTCCCCAAATCTGAGACAGGGTCTATGCAGTCCTGTCTATCCTGGAACTCATGTTGATGAGGCCTGCTTTGAAATCAGAAACTCACCTGCCTCTGCCTTCTCTGTGCTGAGGTTAATGGGGCCCTACAACCTCCCTTGTAAAAAGATGCTTTCTGTACACTGTGGATGAGTGTGAGCATGTGTATGGAGGCCAGAGGTCAACTACAATGTTTTTCTGTTGTCCGCCTTGTTTTGGGGTTTTTAGACTTTTAATGTGAGTGCAGGTGCCACAGTCAGAGGAATCAGCCCACCCTGGAGCTGCAGCTGGTGAGCCAAGGGATGTGACTGCTTGCATGACTTCGAGATCTCTTGAAAAAGACTATACTCTCATCTCTGTAGCCTCTACCTTACTTGACAGGCTCACTCTGGGATCTGGCTAGACTTGCTGGCACAAGACAACCTTCCTCTGCTTATTTGTATTTTATTTTCTTGGGACAGGGTCTTCTGCAGCTTAGGCTGGACTTTAATTCTGGTAGAGGTATGCCTTTAACCCCATACACAGGAGGTGTGCTATATACTGAGTGGATAAAAAGACCATCTCAAAGTGAAAAAGAAGTACCAGTAGACATGGCCTATGTATCCTTTGCTTCTTTCTTGGTAAGAAATGACCAGTTAAATTTCACCTCTGTAGACCCCGGCACTGAGCATTCAACACAGGTCCTGCTGTTCAGTGTCATAATCCTCAAACAGGGCTGTCACATCACCCTCAAATATTAATTCACACATACCCCTCCTCCTCCCAGTACTGTGTAGCTCTGGCTGGCCCAGAGACCTGCCTGGTTTTGCATCCTAAGCATCACACCACCCTAAAGGATCGTTTGACATTTGATCTTGTGGATTTTCCCAAGCACAGCTGAAATGTAATCAAGGCAGCTTTAGAATAGCACAGTGTAGCTAGGGAACAGTGTTATCCCACGCCTGCTCTCCTGGCAAACATGAAGCACTGAATCACCTGAGTGGTGACCCATGTCCCAGGGCATCAAGCCTGGAGGATCAAGTAAAGGCCTAGTGTGGCAGACTTACCCCAAACCAAAAATAAATAAATAAATAGCAAGTACAAAGTGTCTTAAAGCTTTTTACTTTGAGACATCATGGAAAGACCATACAGGGCCACAGACAAATACATGATCACAGAATGAAGATGACACAATTAGAGGAATCAATGCCTATCAGCTAATGTTGAAGCTGAAGTTCTAGGAGTTTGACATGATCCAGGGGCAGAAAGAATAGATTAGTATTCTTCTCCTTCTTCCTCACCCTCTCCTTCAACAGAATCCACACCCACCTCCTCATAATCCTTCTCTAGGGCAGCCATGTCCTCACGGGCCTCAGAGAACTCCCCCTCCTCCATGCCCTCACCCACGTACCAGTGCACAAAGGCACGCTTGGCATACATCAGATCAAACTTGTGATCTAGGCGAGCCCAGGCCTCAGCGATGGCTGTGGTGTTGCTCAGCATGCACACAGCTCTCTGGACCTTAGCCAGGTCTCCACCAGGTACCACAGTGGGAGGCTGGTAATTAATGCCAACCTTGAAGCCAGTGGGACACCAGTCCACAAACTGGATGCTGCGCTTGGTCTTGATGGTGGCAATGGCAGCATTGACATCTTTGGGAACCACATCCCCACGGTACAGCAGGCAGCAAGCCATGTATTTACCATGGCGAGGGTCACATTTCACCATCTGATTGGCTGGCTCAAAGCAGGCATTGGTGATCTCTGCTACAGAAAGCTGCTCATGGTAGGCTTTCTCAGCAGAGATGACAGGGGCATATGTGGCCAGAGGGAAATGGATGCGAGGGTAGGGTACCAGGTTGGTCTGGAATTCTGTCAGGTCAACATTCAGGGCTCCATCAAATCTGAGGGAAGCAGTGATGGAAGACACAATTTGACCTATCAACCTATTTAGGTTAGTGTAGGTGGGGCGCTCAATGTCGAGGTTTCTACGACAGATGTCATAGATGGCCTCGTTGTCTACCATGAAGGCACAATCAGAGTGCTCCAGGGTGGTGTGGGTGGTGAGGATGGAGTTGTAGGGCTCAACCACAGCAGTGGAAACCTGGGGGGCTGGGTAGATGGAGAACTCCAGCTTGGACTTCTTTCCATAATCGACAGAGAGCCGCTCCATCAGCAGGGAGGTGAACCCAGAGCCAGTTCCCCCACCAAAGCTGTGGAAAACCAAGAAGCCCTGAAGACCTGTGCACTGGTCAGCCTGTAGGAAAAAAAGAAAAGGCATTGTTTATCAACAGGGCATACTCTCAGCACTGCTTGCAATTCCTCAAGATGGCAAACCACATTTACTTGAAAGGAAAAAATTGTGAATTGGTATTAAAAATGATCTCATGACCCATAGACCACATGTACAAGTCTACTTAATTAATGTAGTGAACAGACTTTACTTATTTTGGCAGGTCCCAACACTCCCCCACACTGCATTTTAAATGAACCCATCCATCTATGGTATTTACCAGCTTGCGAATTCTGTCCAAGACAAGATCAATGATCTCCTTGCCGATGGTGTAGTGGCCACGGGCATAGTTATTGGCAGCATCTTCCTTGCCTGTGATGAGCTGCTCAGGGTGGAAGAGCTGGCGGTAGGTACCAGTGCGAACTTCATCTGGAAAAGGAGATGAAATCAACCATTCACAACAGTAACTGACACACACAAGCTCACTCACTCTTCGGCGGTGTGTGGAGAGGTTCTGAGTATGTGACCAGGACAGAATGCCTCAGGGAAGCCCCTGGCCCACTTACCGATGACTGTGGGTTCCAGGTCTACGAACACGGCCCGGGGCACATGCTTGCCAGCGCCTGTCTCACTGAAGAAGGTGTTGAAGGAGTCATCTCCTCCCCCGATGGTCTTGTCACTTGGCATCTGGCCGTCAGGCTGGATGCCATGTTCCAGGCAGTAGAGCTCCCAGCAGGCATTGCCGATCTGGACACCAGCCTGGCCAACGTGGATGGAGATGCACTCACGCTGTGGGACAGAAAGAAGGGGAAAAAAAAACTATTAGTAATGCCGCAAGCAGCTGGAATTCTAACCATGGCACAAAGTGACAAATCGTTAAAACTCGCAAGCATTTATTAAAAAAAAAAAAAGCTAATTTCAGCCTTTCCACACCTAGAAGTGCTTAGTCACACTTCCTTTTTTGAAAACCAAGATACGAAGGCTTTTCATTTACCCTGTGCCCTCAGAGTTCTACTTTTGCTTTGTGCCCAGACTTCCGGACAACTGTAGGCAGAGGAAGCATGTGACTTAAGCAATGAGGAAGGTTCTGGTGGCAGGGCTCTACGGAATGAGATAATGGAGCATTTATTTGTGCATGCACCGAGGCGCCCGGGATGCAGCTGGTTTGCCACTTCCTCTATTTGTAGGCGCTGAGCTCAGCTCCCCCCGCATCCGTCCTGGTCCAGCAGGGAATCATAAGCCGCTCAGATCCGATTTCTGTTACCCTCAAACCCTTCAATGTCACCACCTGGTCCCACACAAATTCCTAACTCGAGACAGCTGAGACTTCACGCTGTTATTGCTAAGTATTGTGGAATATAGTCCGAGACCTGCCCCACATTTCTTATTGCTTTCATTAAAAGCAAAAGGAAAATCGAGGCTGAGGTAGAGAGGGGGCTTAGTATTCGAGGGCCAGGGTTTGCCCCACCGTCCCCCCCAAATACAGGAGACACACCCTAAACGAATTAAGCCCGCAGTGCCGCAGCGCGCACGCGCACACTGCAGAGGCTCTTCCCGCCGCTCTCAGGCGGGAACGTAACGGTCGCGCATGCGTCTTTGTCTCCTGGCGTCTTCCCGCCCCCGCCTTTTCGCACCGAAGAGGAAGTGAGGGCGGGGAAAGGCTATGTGCGCGCGCCCGAAAAGCAGAACGCAAGGGTAGGGTGGGGGCAGGGCCCGCGCGCGGGAAGACTGCAGTCTGAAAGCGCCATGCTGTAAATGCCTTGTGCAGGGCGTGGACGGATGCAGACCCAAGTCCAGCGGGGCCCGGGAGAGCCCCTTCTCCACATCCCGGAGGTCCTCAGGGATGGGCTCATGGGTCCTCAGCATGGGCCTCATGCTCCCCGGCTCACCCAGGGGAACCCGGGACAACCCCATCTCCCCCAGACCCCGGCGACCCCCCCTCCCCAGGGCCCCCTGCTCGCCCCCCCCGAGAGCCCCTTCTCTCTCAGATACAGGCAGCCCCCAGCAGCCTGGGACCCTTGCTCTCCTGCTCACACACGCTTCAGCCCCAGGCCCCAGCGAGCAGCCCTCGCCTCGCCTCCCTTCCCTGCACCGATGCACTCACCATGGTAGCTACGGGTTAGAAGGCGAAGGTGACAAAAGCAGACAGCGGGTCACGGTTACCGTTCCCGACAGCTAAGAGTCGAGGTAAGTAACGCAATGAGGTGGAGGCGTCGGCTCCAGAGCCTCTTAAGTAGTTGCTGGGGCGGGGCGGGGGCGGCCGG